GGCAGGTGAATTTTCTTGAGGAATCCACAGCCGGAGCCTTCGGCTAGCCAAAACCTGACCCGCAAGGCAGCGGGGCGGTGTGCGAAAACCGTAATCCATTGGGGGCCGATGTCCAGTTCATGAGATCATACGCCCTTTGGACGGGATCAAACTTCCAAGGGGCCCAATACACCTCGACACCCAATCGGGCCGGTGACCATTGCCACAATTAGGAGGTTGTGTGTGTGGTTCGTACGCTTTATGGTTGGTTTAGAATCACGCTTTGGTGAGAAAACACCCCCGCCACGAGGAGGCAGTGAGTAGGGCTTCCTCAGCAGAGGCTATTTGAGACGCTGAGTCGTATGGGAGCATTTCGCAAGGTGCAAGGGAAGTGTGAGCAACAGCAACCCTATACACCCACCCCCGACCATACTGAGGCTTGTTATTAGTACTGTATAGAGTAACAGACATTAAGATTCTGATGAAATGATGGATTAGTATGTGGAGGAACTAAGTTTGACGTTTGGATGAAATTAGTATACTTCATTTACTTCATGAAGAAAGTATAAACTGACTTCATTAATGACTCATGGTAATTAACCAGACGCAGAGTTCGGCGGTGAGGATCCGCAATAAATGTGATAAACTATCGTTTCCAAGTCAAACAATATAAACGGATATTCTGTCCGATAGGGGTATCTCGAGGCTGTATAGTCCAGCAGCCAAGAAGCAGGTTCCTGTTCACTACAATAAACGATGCAGTAAGACTCTTGATATGGAGCTTTTTTTACCCTAATAGGGTTGGAGTGGTTGCCTTTGCAGCATTGTCAAGGATCGGAAAGCGTAGGATGGCCCTAAAGAAATTTTCATCAATTCGGTATGTGATCGCAGTACCGACTTGGCATCTCCCGTTCGGGGACTTTTTCCAGCAGCTGGTATTCGGAGGATGAAGCTACTATGAATTTGCTTATATCCCTCATATGTAGAGATCAGAGATTCTCAGTCATACAGGCAAAAGTATGACAAGATCGGGATTTTTACATGTACCGAAAGTGTTTCGAGGTTCTGAGAGTGATTCTGTAGCATTATAGATAATATTACTAATTGAGGAATCATTACTGTGCCTGAGCCATCGGCATGAGGGATCACTTTCGTTGGGTTGTTCATTCATAGGCGGATCTTCCCGTAGATTTGCTTTCTTGCTTTTTTTGGCTCCTCGGATAATCAGTGCATGTTGATTAAATTATCCAATAAACTGCAAGGCTCGTTCAAATGGGAAAAACAACATTTTTGACGAACAACAAAAAATCGACTTTTCTTGGTTCTTTAACATACATTTTGAACCAGGATTTGGTGCTGGTGTAATATATCTTTAGCTATTCGGTTGGCTTATGTGGGATTTCGTCGCATTCCTTTAGTTTAAATAATACTCTACGATTCTTCAATGACGCGTCATTGAATACTAGAAAAGAAAAACTTTGGCTTTTAATCGGTGTGATGACATTCAAGGGTTATTCTGAAAATCCAATCGTGATTCATTATTTCCACATTGGATCGAAGCCAGAAAGCCGTAGCAGACTCAGAGAACCAATTAACGCTAAAGTACAAACGTTATAAATTTTATAAAGTGGAACTCCCTCAATCCCAATCTTTTTGATGTCCCGTTGTATTAGCTATTTTGGCTCGTGCCATTTGGCTGTAGCTAGCTGCATGGAATGACATATTGCGTAAAGCAATACATTGACTTCCCAGGTTATAATTGAATAGGTAGCAAAAATAATCGATGTTCCATTTTCCACTAGTCACAGAAATGACTTCTCCAGATGGATTGCGTAGGATCATCTAACCAGATAGATATTTTTAGACAGAAGAAAACGGCGTAACTTTGGGTTTACAGGACGCCCAATCTACTTGGTGGGTCTCTTCGCCCCAGGAAGACAAGCCTCGACTTTCGATCTATTTGATTTGTCTCTTATTTTACTTTTGTGGACTTTCAAAGTGTTGCTTTTTGAGCTGAGTACGTGGGGATTCATTCGTTCTTTGTGAAGTTGATATTGGTACGGCCGCAGTACTTAACCTGGTAAGCATTAAACTGCATGGTCTTATCCATTTAGTTGAAAATACTTGTTAGTTGGTTGAAGTAAAAAAAAGTCAAATTAGGCATCAGGGAATCATAGTAGGTTTCTTCGGGGGTTTTCTCAATAGAATGGTGAATATTTGCACACAAGATCATTGAATAGCGTGGGATCTGAAATTCAAAAGAACTTATCGATATAAGCAGGGTTTTGTAATAAGCACAAGCGGGGCCTCGAATCACCGAAAATCTTATGGGGCACTGTCCGACCAGATTGTGTTTTTGCTTCCCTGATTGGAAGATTTGATGCAGTTTTAAAAGTATTTTTTGTGTGTAGAATGTCCAGGTTTCTTAGTAGGCTTCAGATCTACACCAAGACGCCACTGTATCAAAAAGTGGATAGTGCTCATGCATGAGTTCAAATTCTGTCATGGCCGTGATCTTTCCCCAGTTGGAATATTAGAGAAAAGATCATTTGTAATGGGTTCTAAGTCGTCTGGCGCGCAGGGCAAAATCGTTTTCTGTTATGGATAGAATTACATAGTTTCTATGTTTTCCCCAAGGAATAAAGGCAGAAAAAAATTCGCCCGTCAAATGCATGGTCTGGAAGCTGTATTTGTGTGGAGACCAACTGCGGGAACGTACAGAATACGGACCTTTTTGGGCGCTGCAAATGGGGAGTTGAGATTTCCCAAGTTCAAATCACTCATAATATTGCAATTTATATCTTTATTCCCTGCCAGAAATGGTGGCTTCACGGAAAGACAGGAATAACTGTGTGACTTATTCCTATGCGATTGATGATGCATTTGAGTAAAGTGACATCTTAATAGACCACAACAGAATTATCGATTGTTTAATAAGATGAAAAGAAAATATTATAAGCAAACAGTTATCTTCAGTGATGCTATTGTCTAGCCTGGCTACGAAATGTCTTCAGACAACACTTCCAGCTTAGAGAACCCTCCAAAACCAACGTCCACATCCCGAGTTAAAATTATTTGACGTATCCTCCATTAGCTCTATCCTTACCATCGTGGACAGCAATAACGGTTTGTGTTTATTTTGTCAGTTTACGCAAGAGAGATTGCCTATTGTGTAAGCCGGTTCTCATTTGCTTACACAGAGTAGCTCAGTTTTGGGCGTAGTCCTTCCGACTAAATCAGGGTTTTTCGATGAAGGTGTATGTAAGGCGGATGTTGGCTATTGATTCAATACAGTCCTATCAGAGGAATAATGTGAGAAAAATCAATGTCTACTGAGAAGGAATTGATCATTCTCCTGTTCATAAAAGGTAGAACATAGGCATGTACTCGTTTATTTCACGTTTACAATTTTGACTCATCCTTCTCCTCTATTGATTTCGGATCCTGTTTCCATGTTTCTGCATTGGCATTCCTGTCAGCGAGAGACAATACCTTAGTTATACCTACATTGAATCTATTTATTACCTTTGATTTGTGTCGATTTTTCCAATGCGGTGTATGTGGTGCCAGTGAATTCTTGTTTTTGAGGTCAAAGTCAATTATAGATCATGGCCACCTGGTGGCTTTTGTTCATTGTTTAAAACGATTCCTCCAGCAGTTCGGTCTTCATATTGTACGTGGCGTCTTCTGTCACAAAACATTCAAGCTAATTGAACGGTTTTCCAAAATACTAACGTCATGATATTGATCGACCAAATTCTGCCACGACTGATTAAAGTGACGCAATCACGTGAACCGTTGCAGCACTTGGAATCCCTACAGGCCATTCTGAAGGTACCCATGTGACGCCTAGGAATCGTACGGAAATCGTTTTTCCAATAATGAAGCCCATTGCTCGGTAATAATGTGATGCTATCTGTTTCGACGCGTGAACAATTTATCAATCATCTTCATTTCGAAAAAAAACAATCATGTATGATTGTGTGTTTGCGGGTGTATGACGTTCTGGCATATTGGTCGTGCTAGCTTATAACAAGAATGGAGTCATGAATAATTCCATTCGCTAAACCTTAATTCTATTCTTCGGACAATTTTCAAAGTAAATTTTGGTAAGCTAAAAGAATAGGACAGATCCGTTTTTGTCTGGCCTGCTGTAAAGTGGCCTGTCCACAGGCGGGGTTGTCAGGAACCACCCTAAAAGCGTTAACACCCCTAATACGCCCGATCCAAAATAATTTCTTCAACTTTTCTGTTCAACGACCAAAGGGATCATTAACCGAGACTATTGTAAATTACGCTTTTGAGCTGTTTTACAAATCACTTGAGTCTTATTAGTTATCAAGCACGATTTATGGGATCATTTCAAATGCAGTTCTTTCAACTATGTTGGGTACCTAGGTTTGCACTGTTCGTCTTTCACATTGTGTCAGTGCGAAGAAAAGTCTAATAGCTGTTTTTCTATCCGTATTATTTACGTAGCTCTCACACCTCGCTCAATATCGGGCGTTTGTGTGAGACGATCTTAGCGGGGCCGAACGCAGGTTTATCAGACTAAGTGAGTGTTACACGTTCTCGACCAGTGCAGAAAAAAGTTCAAAGTTGCTTCACAATAGAAGTGATTTAGTCGACTGTGGCTGTGATTGCGTAATCTGTTCCCTTTTCTTACCTGATACCATTTTCCTTTTTCATTCATAGCCAGAGCATGCTCAGATAAGATTCACTGCCAACGATTCCTCAGGGAAATAGGCGCGTTAAACTGGTGGGTGATTTGATCACACTGTATGACAGGTTTGCGGTTATCATCGTGTTAGAATGTATATCATGTATACACCTTTGTGTCAAAAGGCAAAGCAGATTTGCCCAGGATAATCGGCTACTGCACGGGTTTGTTGAATTGCCGAGTAACGTTCCATGAGTTTTCGTGGTTAGGTTTCATTTTATGTCTCTATTCTCGGCCTGTTGATCGGTTCTGCTTCAATTGCTCTGTTTATTTTTGTTTTAGATATGTCTGAATTTGTGAAATGTTGGCTTTCCTTCCGAGGTCAATAAACCGCCCTTCATCTCTATCAGCGATTGGATCGTTGCTTTTCCACATTCCCAATCGATTATCTAGTCGTATTTTCATTTTGGATTCAGGGAACATTTATCGCAACTTGGCATTTGAAGCATGCTTATACGCCGACTCCGACAGATTTGTCTTCAGTCCTACAGGAAAACCTCCCCCGACAGATATTCTACTGTGGCGCAGTGATCCATGTGTTGTGATCGGTCGATTTCAGAATGCATGGAACGAAATCCGGACAGATGTTTTAAGTGAACGACGATGGGTGTTAGCCCGTCGTCAATCTGGTGGCGGAGCAGTTTTCCATGATTTGGGTAATTTGAATATCTGCTTCATGCAAGCCCGTCGTGTTCTGGACCGGAGAGAATGTATGCGAGCTTTACAGCGCGCTCTGCAACCGTTGTTACCTGGTCACGTTGTTCATGTTGGTGAACGTTATGATTTGTGGACTTCACCTGAGGTCCCTAACGCGCAAGATCCCGATCTTACAGTAAGAAATAAATGTTATTAATCTTTCGCGCTCTCGTTCTCGGGGCGCTTTTCACTTTGTCATTCAATTATATTCGTCTAAATGAACCACCATTTGAAAAAAAGAATCTTTAAGAGCTACCACTGTCAATATACCTACCATATTTCGCTCCAGCTTTACAGACAGACGTCAAATTAACTCTTACGCTTTTGTCCGGATTAACTAATTACTTTGGTTTAGCTATAGTTTAGATATGACTCAGTATCAGATAAGTGACCCGTGATTAATTTTTCTTTCATAAATTCATGTTCCAGTTATTCTATTCTGCCTACAAGCAAATCATTGACAATTTCCTTTACTGTAAAGATTGTTGTTTCGTGATTTTTTTGGATTCAGACCCGTGTGAAATGTATAAATAATCCTGGTAGGGCCTCCTTTATATCGTTCTTTCAATATTTGGGTTGTGGCTTATTTGATGCGTGGTTGTGCATGACACTGGTTGAAATGTATTAGAGAGATCACCGTCATGATGCTCAAGGGATTGTCCCTGTTGCATAAGAAGAATCGGCTCCATCCGTTTCGTTGGTCTCATGTTCCGTTTGCCAATTGGTTCGTTACGTGCATTCATGGTGTTTGGGAAGAATTCACCAGGAACACGTGCAATTATCAATTTCAGTCGGGCACTATCACCGAGAGCGGTTTGTGGCTCATTCCCGCCAACCATCTTCGCGGTGTTGAACGAAGAACTCCCAACATATATAAGACAAGGAAGCAGGGTGAGCGACTGTGTACGACAAAAAGAATACACAGGTTTGTGGTTAGGTAAAAGCTTTTGTTGGGGCCAAAGGTAAACTGTGCATTGCACCACATTTTGGCTACAAATTTTACGGGCAATGGAAAATTTCTCCACAACAATCTTGATTTTTTAGTTTTACGGGATTCCGCCGATACTTGATCTATCCCTAAGCCAGATTTATGAGATAATATGGATTTTTGTCATGCATCAGCCGAAGAGCCGTAGAGCAGCGTAGTGTATCAAATGCATGTATGCAAAGAAAGAACCATTACCTCATTACCTGAAGCTGGTTGCCTTAGCAACCAATTTTCTAGGAGTTCAGACCAAGCGAGATCAGGACCAATAAGATCGTTTAGCTGAGAGTGCGCAATTCACGAGCGGTTGAATTCCGTTCAAACCTGACGTTGAACAATTTACAAATATAATAGGGATTTGATTGTTGAAATTAATTTTTTTAATCACAAATAAACACTCAGCAAATGACAAAGTGATAATCACATACCGGTAATTGCAGACGGATCATATCCGGTCGATTCCATTTTCACACAACCAACTTCTCCCTTCCCTGTCGCTTTCCATGAAAGGCTAGATCCCATTTTTCGTTCACAAATG